TATCCTTGTTTTGTTCGTCATGATTGCTTATTTGTGGTTGCTTTAAAAATGTAGATTTATCTACATCTGAAAGGGGAAAATTGAGGTCTCCCCACCATTATAGTTTTGCAGTTCCATTCTACCTGTAACTTATTTAACTTTTCCTTTAAGGATTTAGACACTATGCAGTTTGGTGAATATGTTTGGTATGTTTATAACTTTGGGTTTTTTCCCCCTAATTACATGTAAGCAAAAATTTTTAGCATTTGTTCTTTAGAATTTTGAGTTCCTAATTCTCTCCCTCCTTCCTTTCCTCCCTGAGCAGGCAACCAACTTGATATATTCTATGCATGTGCAGTCGTGCAAAACATTTCCATATTAGCCATGTTGCAAAAGAAAACACAGAGCAAAAAAGACAAGAATAATGAAGAACGTTTTAAAAGCATACTTCAATTTGCATTTAGATTCCATCAGTTCTCTCTGGAGGTGCAGAACATTTTTCATCACAAGTCCTTCAGAACTATCTTGAATAGTACTGGTTTTAACTCACTGTTCATGATACCTTTCAGCAAAACGTAGTTTCTGTTTGTAATTAAAGGAGTTTGATTACGTTTGCTTTTGCTATTGCTTTGTCTGAGAACATGATTGCTACACCTGCCTTGTTTACTTTAACTGAAGCAGTCAATCAATAAACATTTATTAAGTGCCTAATATTGGGCAGCTAGGCAGCTAGGTGGTGTAGTGGATAGAGCGCTGGGCCTGGAGTCGGGAAGACTCTTCTTCCTGAGTTTGAATCTGGCCTCAGACGCTCACTAGCTGTGTGACCCTGGGCAAGTCATTTAACCCTGTTTGCCTCAGTTTCCCTATCTGTAAAATGAGCTGGAGAAGGAAATGGGAAACCACTCGTGGATCTTTTCCAAGAAAACCCCGAATGAGGTCACAAAAGAGTAGGGCAGGACTTAGCAACAACAGTAAGGTACTTACCATGCGCTAGGCATTGTGCTAAGCACTGGAGATACAAAAAGAGACAAAAGTCAGTTTCTGCCATCAAGGAGCTTACAATATATTGGGGAAGACATGCAAATAAATATGTACAAAGGAAGCTACGTATAGGATAAATCGGACATAATTAACAAAGGGAAGTCACGAGAATTAGGGGAGGGGGTTGGGAAAGATCCACAAAATATAACAGAACCACTCGCAGGCCCCCTGTCTGAGGCGACTCTTCCTGTGACCCCTGATGATGACAGAATTCTGAGAGGATATGTATGCATCACCCACTCCTATCAGGATAGGAATAGTTCATCCTTGTTTTGTCCCTCATGATTGCCTATTTGTGGTTACTTTAAAAAAAAAAGTTTCTTTTGACTCTTGTGTTTGTATTTCAAATTTCTACTCAGCTCCGGGGGTTTTTTTTGGGTTTTTTTTGTTTTTTACCACGAATGCTTAGAAATCCTCTTTTATTAAAGGTCTTTTTTTTTTTTAATCTTGTAGGATTATACTCAGTTTTTCTGGGTAAGTTATTCTTGGCTGTATCCTTTGTGTTCTGGAATATCACATTCTAAGCTCTCTGCTCTTTTATAGTGGTAGTTGCTAAGTCATGTGCGATCCAGACTTTGGCTCCTGGGTACTTAAATTCTTCATTTCTGGCTGCTTGTAGCATTTTTTTCTTTGACTTGGAAGCTCTGGATTTTGGCTATGATATTCCTGGGAGCTTTCATTTGGGGGTTTCTTTCAGGAGGTCATGGATGGATTCTTTCTACTTCCACTTTTCTGTGTGGTTCTAAGACATCTGGGCAATTTTCTTTCATGATTTCTTGAAATATATTTAGGCCCTTGTTTTGGGCATGGCATTCAGGCAATCCAATGATTCTTTTTTTTTTCTTTTTGGTGAGGCAGTTGGGGTTAAGTGACTTGCCCAGGGTCACACAGCTAATAAGTGTCCAGTGTCTGAGGCTGGATTAGAACTCAGGTCCTCCTGACTCCAAGGCCCAGAGCTCTATCCACTGTGCCACCTAGCTGCCCCTAGTCCAGTGATTCTTAAATAATATCTACTCAATCTGTTTTCTAGGTCAGTTGTTTTTACTATAAAACATTTTAAGTGTTTCTTTTCTTTTTTTTTCAGTCTTTTGACTTTATTTTAATATTTCTTTCTGTGTCATGGAATCATGAGCTTCTATTTGTTTAATTTTAATTTTCAGGGAATTTTTTCTTGGATAAGGTTTTGTACTTGTTCCAAGTCATTAATTCTCTTTCCAATTTATCTTTTTTTCTCCATAAGTTTCATTTCCTTTCCATTTTTTTCTTCACATGTTCTCATTTTGTTTGTAAAAAAACATTTTTAACTCTCTCTCTCTTTTTTAATTATTGCTTTATCTGTCCTAGGAATTCTAGATAAAGTTGTGTTCAAGCTGTATTTTACTTTGAGCCTTTGCTTGTAGATATATGGGATCATTCTCTTCTACTGAGTTGGTGTCTTGAGAAGCTTGTAGGCATAATGGCTTTATATAGTGGGATTCTTCTTTTTGTTTGCTCATTTTTCCAGCCTACTTCCTGACTATACTTTATGTTAGGGATGGACTCTGTCCTTTTCTAGGGGGAATGCCTATTCTGAAATTTTGTCCTCTTGGATCTTTCTGCTGCTTTCTTGAAGTATTGAGTGTTGTATTATTTCAGGAGCTAGAGACAGCTCAGGCTGGAGACCTGCAAGCTTTTGGGATTTTCTAAGTGATGTGATCCAGGTTAAAGCCTGATCACTGCCCTCCCGGTCTGAGTTGTACAAGTTCTTGATCTAGATATGGGTCTGCTCAACATTCCTATTGGCTTGTCCCTGGCTAGGAAGTCCAGTAGACTGCTGCTGGCCTTAGGCACTGTTAGCCAGCTGGAAAGCCCTGCTGGTTCCAAGTGACAGAAGTGTATATTTGTCTTTGGCCTGGCATTCCTGCCCTGATTCTTCTGCGTAGGCTTCAGCCTGAGACCTGACTCAGCTCCTGAGTCAGAACCACACAGCTAGTGTTTGATTCTGAATTTGTCCCTCACTCAGCGCAGAGCCTAGAGCCCTCACCCTAGAACACCACTTCTCAGCCTGCCCTGGATCTGTGACCTGGAGCTGTGTAATGATGGACAGACTTGCCAGTTGGCACCTATTCCTGGCCCATGCACAAGGTCCAACTCCTCTCCTCTTTTGTGGGTCTATCTAGGGCCTCTTCTTTTCCTGGTGCATGGCCTCAGTCCTCTTTCATTTGAGGCACATGGTATGTGCCTGGCCAGACTCCAACCCACGTGTGCACAGACCTCTCTGTCTGTCTCCCTGTGCTGAGCTAGGTTGGAAAAAAATTACTCACTCTAGTTTTCATTTAGATTTCCTGATCAGGACTCGGTCAAGTGCATTTTCTAAATCTTTGTAGAGGAATTGGGCTGTACTACTTTCTGCTCTTCTGCCATCTTGACTCCCTCCATTACTGTTTCTACCATATTGGGCTGCCACTTTGGGAAGAAGAAGCCATAAGTGCCTAAAATACATCAATGACAACAAGAGATATTTCTCTGGTATTTTAAGGTTTACAAAAGCCCTTTACATTCACTAAGCCTGTGACGTAGAGACTACAAATTCCAAATTGAAGGGAGTGAAATCCCACTTTTTTATTTTAATGGACAAGGAGCCTGAGGTTTCCACGGTGTGGGACAGTGGACAGGACACTGTCTCTGGAGTGAGAGGACCTGCTTTCAACTCCCGCCTCTATCAGTTATCTGTGTGACCTGGGACAGTCACTTTTTTTCCTCTATGCCTCATTCTACAAATGAGGAATTTGGACCAGATCCCCTCTGAAGTCCTTTTAGCTCTGGAGTTATGAGCCTATAAGTGACAAGCCACTTTGCACACTACAGGTCTCAGTTTCCTTATCTGTAAAATGAGGACATTGGTCTCAATGGCCTCTAAAGTCCTTTTCAGGATCTAGAATCCCGTGACTTGCCCACCCGTCCTCCAGCTGATAAATAGAAAGCCAAGGCCCTCCTGGGCCCTGGGGGTTTCCCACCATCCCTTCGCTGCTCCAGCATAATATTGTAAATGATTGATGTGAAATTCTGCTGACCAAACTTCATCCAAAGACTGATTTCTATTTAACACAATCCTTGTTTTAGGCAATTTACAGATTTAATGAAGAAAGACCTTGCAGCCTGACTGCTTCTGGGGCCTCAAGCTGAAAAACAGACCTCATCGCCTATGAAACAGTTAGAAATAGGAGTTATTTGGCGTCCCAGACTGTAGGACTGGAGCATGTGTGTTACGGAAATTGAGGGCTAGTGCGCGGGGGAAAGTGATTTTCACAGCAGAACTTTTTGTTAACAATCTATTGTGAGGACCAGGTGAACACTCAGAGGACCTCAGAGCAAACAACACCTTTTTGGGGGCAATCATAATTCATCATGGTGTAGAAAGAATAATGGACTGGGGATTTGGAAGATTTAGGTTTAAGTCGAAGACGTTGTTTTGCCACCTACCAACTGCGTGACCTTGGGCAAGTCTCATACCTTCTCTAGGCCTCAGTTTCCTCATCTTGTAAAAGGAAGGATCATAGATTTAAAGCTACAAGGAACCTCACAGGCCATTGAATCCAACCCCTCATTTTACAGATGAAGAACCAGACGAGAGGAAGGGACTTACCTAGAGTCTCCCAACCAGTACCAGGCCAGGATTCCAAATCCAGGACTTTTTCCACCCTTCCTCCCAGCTGCCTTGAGATAGGTTTAGGCGGTTTCTAAGTTCTCTTGTATTGGAGCAGCTAGGCGGTACAGTGGATAGAGCGCTGGCCCTAGCATCAGGAGGACCTGAGTTAAAATCTGACCTCAGATACTTACTAGCTGTGTGATCCTGGCCAAGTCACTTAACCCCATTGCCTTCCTCCCTCCCCCCCCCAAAAATAAAGTTCTCTTGTACCTCTAGAGTCGTGGTTTTTACTACAGGTGCATGAACTTGAAAAAAACGATTGATAACTGTATTTCAATATAATTAGGCTGTATTGGAATCCTACATGTTTTATTTTAATGCACTTAGAAACATGGCACTGAGAAAGGGACCACAGACTTCACCAGACAGCCTGCTGCCAGAGGAGTCGAGGGCATGAACCATGTGACAGGTCCTGCTTGTGGCACATGGTCCTATGGTGCTAGGGCGGAAGGGGATGGCCATCAGCACAGGGGCCTTCTTTCCTCCCCTGCTTCCGTGCATGCAGCCAGGCATCCCCCACACCTGGAATGACCTCCTCTCAGCTCTCTGAAAGTCTTCTCTGCCTTCAAGGCTCGTTTCAGATGCTGCCTCTTTCTTGAAGTCTTTGCTGATCCAAGTCTGGAGGAAAGAGATGTCACCCTCCTCAAATACTCCCCAAGGCACCTTTCTCCTGTCCTGTTCCTACCCCCGCCCCCGCATTCCTCATCGCATTACTCCTCTTTTTATACTCCTTTCTGCATATGTCTTATCCCTGTTTTTAGATGGTAATCTCCTTGAGGTCAGGGACTGTGTTGTTTTGAACCTTGCACAGAGCCAGGCACGTGGCAACACTGGAAATAAACTAAGGTTGTATGGTGTTGGGGCAGCTAGGTGGTGCAGCGGATAGAGCCCTGGCCCTGGAATCGGGAGGACCTGAGTCCAAATCCAGCCTCAGACACTTGACACTTACTAGCAGCATGACCCTGGGCAAGTCACTTAAGCCCACTGCCTAACAAAAAAAAAAAAGTAGTATGGGCTAGTAAAAAGGCCATGGACTTGGAGCCACAAGAAACCTGGAATTGGGGATGATTTAACATAAGGAAAATGATTATTAGCATAACTGACTATATCAATAACAAAAATTGTGTGATTATATCAATGGATGCAGAAAAAGCTTTTCACAAAGTACAACACTGATTCCTATTAAAAACACTAGAAAGCATAGGTATAAATGAATTTTTCCTTAAAAATGATAAGAAGCATCCACCTAAAACCATTAGCAAGCATTGCCTGTAATAGAGATAAGCTAGAAGTCTTTCCAGTAAAATCAGGAGTGAAACAAGGATGCCCATGATCACCCATATTATTCAATATTGTATTAGAAATGTTAGTAATAGCAAAAAGAAAAGAAAAAGAAACTGAAGGAATCAGAATGAGCACTGAGGTAATAAAACTATTTTTTTGCAGATGATATGATGATATACTTGGAAAATCCTAGAGATTCAACGTTAAAGCTAATTGAAAGAATCAGTAATTTTAGCAAAGTAGCAGGATATAAAGTAAACCGACACAAACCATTAAATAATTTTTATACAAAGTCAGATTTAAATAATTGGAAAAACATTAGTTGTTCATGGGTTGGCAGAACCAATATGATAAAAATGACGATTCTACCTAATCTATTTATTCAGTACCATCCCAATTAAATTACAAAAAAAAATATTTATTGAGCTAGAAAAAGTAACCAAAAAATTCATTTGGAAGAACCAAAGGTCAAGAATATCAAAGGAATTAACGAAAAAAAATGTTAAAGAAGGAGGCTTATGAATACCAGATCTTAAGCTGTATTACAAAGCAGTAATTATCGAAACTATCTGATGCTGGCCTAAAAAATAAAAAGGTGAATCAGTGGAACGAAGTAGACATACAATACATGGTTTTTGTTCTTATTCAGCGGTTTTAATCATGTCTGACTCTTAGGAAATGATTATAGTAACTTTGTGTTTGATAAATGTAAAGATTTAAGCTTTTGGGATAAGAATTCACTATTTGGTAAAAAAAACAATTGGGAAAAATTGGAAAGCAGTCTGGCAGAAACTGGGGATAGACCAATATCTTACACCATTTACCAAGATAAGTTCAAAGTGGATATAAATAGAAATATCGTAAGTAAATTAGAAGAATATGGAACATATTACCTATCACATTTATGGACAGGAGACGAATTTATGAATAAATAAGAGATAGATTGCATTATAAGATGTAACATGGATAATTTCTATTACATTAAATTAAAAAGGTTTTGTACAAATAAAACTAATGTAGCCAAAATTAAAAGGAAAACAGAAAGTTGGGGGGAAATTTTAGATAATTTCTCAGATAAAGGTCTCATATCTCAAGTATATAGAGAACTTTGTCCAATTTATAAGAATATGAGTCATTCCCCACTTGATAAACGGTCAAAAAATATGAACGGGTAGTTTTTAGATGAAGAAATCAAAGTTATATAGTGTCATATGAAAAAATGCTCTATATCATTATTGATTAGAGAAACACAAATCAAAACAACTTTGAGATATCTCACACCTATCAGATTCACTAAAATGATAGAAGGGGAAAATGACAAGTGCTGGAGAGGATGTGGGAAAAAATGGGACATTTTATACAGTGTTAGTGGAATTGTAAACTGATCCAACCATTTTGGAGAGCATTCTGGAATTATGCCCAGAGTTATAAAATTGTGTATACCATATGACCCAGCAATACCACTATTGGGTCTGTTTCTCAAGGTAATCAGGGAAAAAGGAAAAGAACTTAAATATTCTAAAATATTTATAGCAGCTCTCCTTGTGGTGGCAAAGAATTGGAAATTGAGAGGATGCCCATCCATTGAGGAATGGCTGAACAAGTTGTGGTATGTGAATGTAATGGAATACTATGGTGCTGTAAGAAATGATGAACAGGCTGACTTCAGAAAAACCTGGAAAGATTTACACAGAATAATGAAGAGTGAAATGAGCAGAACCAAGTGAATGTTGTAAATAGTAACAACAATATTATGTGAAGAATAACTGTGAACAAATAAGTTATTCTGAATACTATAAATAATCAAATTAACTACAAAGGACCTATGAAGGAAGATGCTGTCCACCTTCAGAGAAAGAACTGATAAATAGAAGTATGGTTTTACGTACACACACACACACACACACACATATATATACACATACATATTTTATATAATAAATACCAAAATTATGGCTATATAATTAATTATATTAATGCTATGTATATATATTATTATTATTAATGTAATATGTATTCTATAACATATAAATATGAATACATAACATCTATCTGTATCAAATGGTGCCTTCTCCATTGTGGTGCGTGGAGGGAGGAAGGGAGGAAGACAGTTCAGAACTTAAAATGTAACCAAAAAATGAATTAAATTGAATTAAAAAAAAAAAGAAACTTGGGTTTGAAACTTGCCTCTGACACTTAATAGTTGTATGATCTTGGGCAAGTCACTTAAGCTCTCTTGGTCTACAGTCTCATCTGTAAAATGGGGACAATAACACCTGCCATTACCTCACTTGCAGATTGTTATGAAGACCAGAGTCACGCATCTTAGCCCTAGAAAGGGCTCATGTTGGTCTGATCAGCCATAGCCGGACACTCCGAAACTTGACTCTCGCACAGTTATGTCATTTTGGTCCTCTTTGAGAACAAAGGACAACAATCAGCCAGTCCTACCCACCCCTGAACAATAATTGGTCTCTGCTCCAGCAAGTATTGTCCTGTACTTCCAGAAGGAAGTATGGTAGTCAGAGGCTCTGGGTTCAAATCCTGCTTCATAGGCATTGACAGCCCTCTCACTCACAATCCATTTGACTTCCAGCTACTCATTTCTCTCTTCTCCTCCTTGGTTTCCTTCTTAAAACCAGGGGCTGGGACTCAGTGGTCCCTGAGGTCTCTTCCAGGCCAAGATCTAGGATTCCATGGCAGCTGTGATGGCTCCAGTCATCGGACACTCTTCTAACAACAAGCCTTAATTTCCTTCTTGGCAGTTTCTACACATTATTCTGAGTTTTGTCCTTTACTCAGATATGGTAACTAACCTGAAGTGCTCTGTTTGGTAAATTAGCTTTTACTGCTATCTTTAGTGCTGAAGTTACCTTCATTTCCCCAATTATCCGCCCTTGAGCTATCTCTTGTAAGAAAGAAGAAAAAAGATAATGTAGCAAAACCCATCAACAAATCAAATGTGTATGGCAGTATCTGTAATTCTGTGTACCCATAGACTCCCACCTCCAAAGAAGGGCTGTTGTTCAGTCTTTTCAGTTGTATCTGACTCTTGGTGAACCCTTTTGGGGTCTTCTTGGCAAAGATACTGGAGTGGTTTCCCATTTCCTTCCCCAGCTCATTTTGCAGATGAAGAAACTGAGGAGGGAAGGAGGTACATTCTCAAGGGCTTGGGCTCTGAAGGCGGGGAGATGGGAAGGATGACCAGAGTGGAGGCAGTGGGATGTGAAGATGACTGGGAACCAGGCCTCCACGTTCCTCCCAGCCTAAATCCATTCTCTACTGGCTCTGCTCTGGCCATCCTCCTCCTCCTCCTCTCTGCTCCCCCCACAACCTGAGTCTCCCCATCCCCCACTGCTATTTGTCTTCTTCCAGCTTTGGGTACAAACTCCTAGAGGGTAAGGGCTGGCTGGCTGGCATGTGCATCCCTAGCACTTGGTATAGTGCCTAGGACATAGTTAGCGCTTAATAAATTCTCTGTCTTTGGCACTATCTCTCTCTTTGTCTCTGTCTGTCTCTCTCTCTCTGTCTCTCTCTGTCTGCCTCTGCTTCTCTGCCTCTCTGCCTCTGTCTGTCTCTCCGCCCCCTCCGCGTCTCTGTCTATCTGAGGTCCCTTCTCCTCTCAGGACCTCAGTTTCCTCTACAAAACAAGGTGTGGGAGTGCCCTAGAAGCTGCCTGAGTTCCCTCCCAGTTCTAAATCTACAATCTGACATACCTACTACAAAGTCCCTTTCCCTCTGTGGGCCTCAGTTTCCTCCTTTGTGAAATTGGGGAATGGGGTGCTACAGGCTGCCTGAACACCCTTCCAGCTCTAAGTCTTGAGATCTCTGAATGTTTGTTCAATCAAATTCTTTCTAAACCTGCTTTGGGCAAGAGTCCTGCCATGTGAGGCAGGGGGTAGGGGAAGGAGTCAGAGAGAGAAAATTGAAACACAGCAAGGGAGGGAAGGCAGAGAAGGCCAGCTCACCAGAGTCCTGTCATAGTGCAAGCAGAAACATGCAAGAAGAAAACCCAATTTTCAGGAGCAAATCCTCTCTGGGCCTTACTGTGTACCTGCCCAGCTGCCCATTAAGTCTGTACTTTTGCTGGTCTCTGGGATCTGAAGCTTTCTTTGCTAAAGTGAGACACAACTTTTCAATGGTCATGGGGCCTGCTGAAGAACTGAGTCATTCAGAGAAGGGGCTGCATAGCAAGAGAGGAGACAGGGCAGGACTGGGCCTCAATCTCAGCCCTGACACTAACTAGACCTACGTCCTTAGGCAGGTCACGTTCCTTTTGGGGACCTGAGTGTCAATAGTCACGAGAAGCAGTATGTCCAGTGGAGAGAGGCCAA